GGAACGAGCGGGGTCCTATGAAAACAACCTCAGTCATCAATTGCTTAAGACACAACCTTAACATCATAGTCACACAAAATCCGGAACACCAAATACTGTTCAAACCCGCATCACTCTTCCAGACACCCCTTGACAATTTTCTCCCAAGCCTCAGTAATACCCCACCCCTCCAAGGCCGAACAAACGATTCCCCCGCTTTCCACAAATCCATTCCACCCCACCCTACCAATCAAATCCCCCTTACATCCAACCACAAAAACCTTCCCCCTCCTCCCACCGCCTCCCGCCCCATTCCAACGCTCAACCTCCCCCCACCACCTCATACCCACATTCCTCCAACTCTGCACATTATCAGCAGCGTAAGCAATAACATACCCGTCAATATCGCCACGACCAAGGAATAAACTGCGCAGGCGCTCTAGGTCATCGGACCCACCCAGGTCCAGGATTGTGAGGACGGTGTAGGGGTAGTTGGGCAGAGTGGTGGTGTAGACATCCTCTAGAGTCGGAGTGTGCTCGCCTGTAAAGACGTTGCTGGTTTGGCGGGTTATGAAGTTGGTTTTGCCCGTTGAGGGGGAGCCAAGGAGGAGGATTGTCAGGTCCTTTCTTGGAGCTGCAAGGGGAACGGCCGTGGATGACATCGTTGTTCTCACTGCTTTTTTGCTTTGAATTCGTTCTCTATTTACTTTCCTTGGAGCTTTTCGGAAGATTTTGTGAAAAGTGACGCTGCTGGATTATGGATTTCGTGGGCTGTGATTCATTCAATGGCTGTTGAGTTGGTCAGTGCAGAGAGGAAATTGTATGGTAGTGAGGGGGGGTAGGCTCGTTATGGACTATGGATAGGGGAGTTGAGCCCTTTGGGGGCCGGTGCTCGCAGGGTCTTACCCAGAATATAGTATCAATTTGAGGGTATTGAAATTATGGTAGGCCTTTCTGTTTTTACAAAAGAGCAATTATAATTACTTGATAATATTACCAAATAAAAATGGAAAGGCAATTAATCAACTATAGGTATTCAATAGTATGCCCGAGGACTAATATACCAATGGTAGACTTGTGACATCCTTGTAAAAGCAAAGTTGACCACAAAATCTAATCTGACAACAGTACAGAGAGAACTGATTGGGCTGCAGAAAAAGTACGACAGAAGAGAAGGAAGAGAATATCCTCCACCATAAACCACCATAAATCCCCTTGCCCCACCTGCTATCACTCCCTCCGCTATATTGTATATGCTGCTGTAGTTCTTGATCGAGGCTGTACCGCCTGCTCGCCCGAAGCTCCACCGGGAGGGCTATCGGGCCCCATTCACCCCACAGGAGAGCAAGCCACAATCACCCACAACATGTACCCCGTGCAAGAGAAAAAGAAAACCAATGACAACGATACAACACAACGTAGTGGCAAAGAGAAAGGAAATGCGAGTGAGGAAACCAAACCAGTAGTACGATAGAGTTTCCGAAGAAACTCTATTGTAGTTGTTAGAAAAGTGCTAGATAAAATATAGAACCAGGATAAGAAAAGCGTGGACCCGTGATTGGAGGTCTACCACACACATGGGAATTCTTGACTAGGCGGCGCTACTCATAAATAGGAATCATGTATCTACATGGTAGATTACGTACTGTACATACCCCAAAAACACCCGACCATCATGGATGTGAAGACGGAAGGCTAACCGCCTTCTCTCTCTGTCGTTTCTATTCTTCTTGCTTTCTTTTCTCTCTGACCATTTTTCTCCTTAATTCTTTACTCTGAAAAAACCTCAATATACAATCAATTATTTATCTCATCGAGTCCAATAGCTACATGACCATTCAGTCAGGCTTGTGAGACTCCATCCCACCTCTCTCCCAGTAGACCCTGTATGGTACATGCATGGGGGTAACGGAGTTATTGGTAGACAAAAGAACGGGGGGGTCGAAATAACGGGACGGCACCATGGAGCCAAGGGAGAAAAAAGTAAAATCCCATATGACCTGATCTGATGCAGTTCGAAGGGAGGCATATCACTATCAGCCGTGAATATTGATCCCCGCAAACCAGCCCAAAGTGGGACTCTATGGAGGTGAGCTTTATGGAGCCGCCGATATATACCGGTTCAGGGCCAAAGGTTCTTCCCTTCTAGTAATGCCCTTCCAAAAAACCGCATTGTGGCGATTCTCTTCCCCCGAGGTCCACAATGTCCCGATTTACATGATACTATTCCACTCGGGGAAAATTTCGGCAACTCCTATATGCTTATACTGTGCACTCGAGAGTGGTGTTCGACGCACAATGTCATAAACCTCACGGGATGACGCACAATGGAATCTTGACCACTCGCTCAACTAAATCCCCCTCTAGGGGTTTATTGACCGGGTGATAGGTGAGAGACCAATAGCATACCTTTGTTTGCCTGTGATTAGTCTAGTGTTTATGTTAAAATTCTGTAAAAATTGGCATCTAGCGATAGGATAAGAGGCTTGGGCCTGTAAAGCATCGTTCCCTGCTTGGAATTATAGAGAACCCCTCAGAAAGGATACTAAATAAACCAACGAAGCCCAGCTTGAACCCCCCACTCCCCCACCTCTTAGACAGACACCACCTTTTCCCTCGATTACCAAAAAAAACCCTTCTTCTAGCAGAATAAGCACCTGTCCCCAACTTAACTTCCCACGAAATACTTAGCCAGCGCGGTAGCTAAGATTTCAAGAACAGATTTACTCCTGTCACAAATAGCAGGAAACCAGGAATTCAATTCATACTCTCAACGAGTTGTTATTGAATGATCCGTCATATAGGGCAGGATAACAAATGGATCCTGTCCCATGGGGACTGGGAGATTGGAGAGCCTAGCCTTCATAAGTAAGGCTGTTGAGCTTACCAACGCTGCTACGAGGTGGCAGGACCTGACTCTAGACGCGCACCCAGGGGTGAGGTTGGCGATCGGCGGGTATCCGAAAAAAGACTAAAAAATTATTTTTGCCTCTTTTGCTCTGAAGAGGTAGCTGCAGGCTCTAAAATGCTATAGATGTTACAGTCATTATTCCAGCAAACTACACTCTCCCCATTCGTGGCCTTGTAAAAAAAAACACCCTCCCACTGAAGCCAGGTATACCAGCAGATAGCAAGTGGCGAGAGACATGAGGTCCGTTTGTGGCACTGTGCAATTGCTGCGGAAGACTAGAATGAAAGGGGAAGGGCATTGCTCGCAACGTGAAGATAGCATAGCCAGTATTTCAAACATATGGCAGCGGTGTGGAAGTGTAGTTGGTTTATGGGGAAGTCCAAGGAGCGCTTGCAAGCACATCACCGGCAATGGAACAAAATGAGGGTAGAAACAAACCAACAGCTTATCTAACCTTATATACTCAGGTAATTCAATAGATCGGCAATTGCATTCGAGGGATATACTCTAAAAATCCTTGGTACTTAATACCTTTACCTCTACCCCTTCGCACCTTCCCCACCGTTAGAATAGCCAAGCAATACTCAAGGCCGTGAGACACTGGGGCTCGTCGTCCTCTGGGTTCCTCGCCCTACTCTAAACACCACTCCTTCACAGCCACTCAGAGAGCTCAGTGAGTGCGGTGTTTGGTCCGCAGTATAGGGGCCGACCTCCTCCAGTGTTTGCAAAGGTCTTGGGACACCGGCAGCGCCCCGGGATGCTGTGAAGAATGCCGGACCTGACCGGACAACGATTTATTGTCAGATAGGTCCCGCAAAATCTAGAAATGGGCAGGTTTTGGAAAGAACCGTGCCCCGACAGGGCAAAACACCATTCTGTAGTCCCTACTGCTAGAGTGCAGGAGATATTAGTAGCCCATAACACATGAGATAGGGAATTTGAAGCGCTTGATATTTCCCACCTCTTCCTTCTCAACTTTCCTCTGTATAGTATCTTCTCCCTTTCCTGAGGCGCCACTGGATGATAGTTTCGGATGAGCAAGGAATGATGTTGTGAAACTTTCTATTTATTGTACACCACGGGACCCGGAAAGACATTTCTCTGCCGGACTCAGGATCATGAGAAATCACCCGCTTGTGATCATTCATTCCCACAAATTGCGACATAGGATACGAGTTACGAAAGGTCTCTAACTAGTCATACTTATTCACAATACGCCCCACAAGCCACCCTGTATTCCAGGACATTAAACGAATTTCGTGCGTTCGAACGGCAGATGGAGGCTGCGCCGTTATATCCTGATCCTCTCGGGCCTTGGTATTAGGTTGGCCTAGCAGCATGGTAGAATCTACAAACCCAGCAGAATAGTATGATACGGCAGAACAGAGGAGCTCTCCTGACCCTACGTAGGAAAACATTAGTAGGTATGATACGGCATACATAGTCAAAAGAGCCATCCGAATCATCGAGAGCGAGGTATTTTATCCCATAGGGAAATTAAGATATAATAACTTCACCCCAAACAACCACGAACACATTTACCGCCCAACCTATCAAAAAAAAAAAAACACGATTCAATCCCTCCATCTCTACCCGTTCCCTGTCGGGCTCCTTAACTTCTCCATCGTGGATGCCAAACACAGGTAGCTTCCTCACACCATTCATCCCGATCGAATTCGGCTCATATCTTCGAATTCACAATCCTGGAAAGAAGGACCTCCTTTTAAAGCTCATCCGCCGTCAGATCTTGCGCCATTCGCGCTACCTCAGCGCCCTTCGGGACCTCGCTTGCCCCACGCTAATCGTCCCCAAGAGAGAATTTGGGAGGGAGTGATTGAGCACCGAATTTTTCCAAAACACCCCGATCTTGGCTGTGTTAACTTGAGTCAATGGATCCGGACTCTCCGGCATGACCCATAGCGTATGTGTGTTGCTGGGACAGTACGGTATGTTCCCGTCCCAATCGGGTTCGCACATGGGTAATAAGTTAGTCCATTACCTTTTTTTTTTCATATGCAGCACTTCGTTTTTGGAATGGAAAGGACACATCGTCTGCTTCAAGCGGTTTAGAATACTTGTCTAGGTACGGAAATTTCCTTTCTTCAGCGGTAGCTTGAAATACACACTTTAAGTTACTGATATTGACTTCCTCAACACCACTCATCTATTGATATAGTGGATAGAAAGAGGCATTCGTCTCTGATCCCAACCCACCCTACCAAGTTCCCCGAAACAAGGTGGCAAATACCGTCCATTATTTAAATGTCCCTCGACCCTCCTTTCCAAGATCCTGGGTTTTCGTCCCATGCCTACCTCGATTTAGTGGAGATCCCTCGAGTAAAGAAAGATTCACACTGCCATCGATACCACTCTCCAGAGCACCCAGAATCCCCCCACCCCTGCTTCGCCGGCCCCACCAACAGAGTCCAGCCCTATCGGCCCCAAGCATCCACATCTTCCCTCCCATCCCAACCACACAGAGAGAGACCCACTCACGCGCCTTCCTAGCCACAAAGTGCAGTGGTCTCCGCTCACCGCATATGGGAGCACTAACCTCAATCAAAAGATATCCCAGAAGCAAGAGCGTCATACCCCCGCTCTGAGAGACCGCCACGGTGTACGCGATCGACGGCGTCAAAGCCTAACAGTGCCTTCACCGTATCGGGCTCCGCCCTATCATTGATGAGACCGCAGAGCAATTTGCGCTGCTATGGTGTCGCCCCGAACGAGAGGACAGCCTTCGCCGCGTATCGAGGTGGCAGTACGTGACCGTGCAGCAGGCCGTGTCTAGAAGTGCGGGCGTGAGGAGCCATACCGGATGGCGATCGGCTTTCAAGAGTGAGAATATTTCAAGCGGTGAAATCTCTACTGATTAAGGAGGGGGGTTCGCTTGGAAGGGGGGATGATGAGTATTGGCTTTGCGCAATAAAGTGTACTGCACTGCGCTGGGCTACCACTATGGATACTCGACCGTGCACAAGTACTATACCGACGGGAGGTAAAGTTTGACTCGTGGTATGAGCTGGTGGCCCTCGGCCGTGTGTACCTGAATCACACATGAGCATTCTGGGAAAAGGAAATCCCAACGGATGTGTGGGTTAAACCTTCCATTGCCTATCGCTCGGTATGTAATTCCTGGGCGCCCGGGTAATGTGTTTCACCCACTTAAATTATGATACCAACAATACCGGGAAAACGATCAGCCTCAATAAAAAACCCCCCCCCCCCGATTTGAGCACATCCATGATCCCGATGTTTCAAGTAAGAAGTCTAAAGGTTCAAACAAGTCTACTACCAAGCTCCTGAACTCTTCCTAGCCTTTAAAATTCATTTCCACTCCAAAAAAAAAAAAAGAGAGAGAGAGAGACACTTTTCACGTTTCGCGGCCATGAACCTGCAATCCTGGGTGGACCTTAAACCCAGCGAATTGCAAAAAGAACTTCAATAATATACTTAAATTAGCTCAAGTACCTGGAATTAGTATCATCTTGAACAAAAAAACTGCTGATAACTATACGGTATGCGTTTTCGCCACAGTTTATACCTCGTTATCTGGGAAGAATGTTGGAAAAGGGAAAAGAACCATGATAAACAGGTGGCAGAGATGATAATCTTTGGACCCAAATTCATGAGTTGTTCAACATTGGACTCTTGTCCTCTAAGTTACTCGAGATTGTCCTCTGAAGTCAGTTGGTAGCTGTGATCGCTTACCAGGTGTGATCACTAACCGGGCAAAACAATGTCACTACGACATGATAACTTCTCTAGGGGATTCTTACCTCTGGTGAATAATACTACTCGAGTGTGTTATTATTATTAGTGCGTGAACTATTGGGTAGAGTTCGGCCCTCAGTCTCGTCCCTTAGTTACCCATATGATACGTATGATACTGTGCTGGTGTCTCGATAGCTGAGTCTGATTGAAAAGTGGTGAGAGGAAGCGATATCGATGAGACCAAGAGAGTCCCGAGTGCTGTGAAGTTGATCACCGGTACATAGTATTAGAGCAAATAGCTTCCCCCTGATCGCAACTGGTTGCCGTGTCACAATGAAGGAGCACGACTCGAATGAGCAGGAAGAAACAAGCTGTTAAGTTTACAAGAAATCAACTGCCTATAACATTTTTGTCCGAACATCATGAATCCGTAAAATAGGCTTGTAGTAGAACAATCCAAACATCAAACTAACCAACAAGTTCAATCATTAAACCTAACCTCACCATTAAAATACACTATAATTTCACCACGCACTCACGATATTAACTTGTGTGTTGAAAAAGAAAAAAAGAAAAAACAATAAACCGCTAACAATCAACCAAGAGCCAGGAGAAAAAAACAATCGCCATACTCCAATCGCCATTAACCAAGAAGATTCTCTAAACCGGTTCCAATCAATCTTTTTTCTCAATGCTCCGTCCAATCTCCTCAACTCTACAGTCCTTCCACCGGACCTTGTATCTTCCCCCGCGCCAGTTGACTTCGCCAGGCCACAGGGCCCAGGCCCATATTCCAAAGGCTAGCGCTTCTCGCCCGATCCATTGCACAACCCACTCCAAGAAGGTGCGTTTCGGCATTTCGGTTACGAATTCGGGGGTATGCTCATCGGGGTGAATGACCTTGTATGCATGCAGGAACATGAATAAAGAGTAATCTGTAGCGGCCCAGAGGATAGTAGCAATGCCCCAGCACATAAATAGAGCGGGCCAGGTTGGCGGAATGCAACTGCGGAAGAATGGCAATGTTGTCATGGCGTAAGCCCCCAGAAAGGAGCACAGCAGGGATTCTGTACCTGGCTCGAGAAGAGTTGCTGCAAGGACAGTGTACTTGCGGACCCGCAACCAGCGGGTTCGTCTTGCCAAGTATTCGACAACAGGCATACGGCTGACTGGTTGGAGCACTATGTCCTCACCCGTCCCGTGTCTCCCCCAAACCCGGACTTTGCTCTTCTCGTCATCTACGGGCTTCAGCCAGAGTCTTTCCGCGAGAAGGTGGTCTTCACAGATGTGTTCCGCGAATGCAAGAACTCCGTCTTTTTCCGGTCGGCCGTGAGGGTCCCTGGTAACCTGGGCGAGATGTGAGCGCCTGAATAGGTTTGACTTGCCGACGACACAAGGCGCTACTCCAAGAGTGTTGATTGCGGTGTAAAATTTACAGTGAGAGCTAGCAAGGAAGCTTTCCTCCAGTCTCCCCCCACCCATAGCCCACCACCGTGACCAGAACGGCTTTGGCGGGGAAGGCGCAATAGGTTGCGGCAACAGTGGCGTTAAGCTGTTGCCAGCGGAGATTACGGGTGATGACGGTATAGATGGCGGTTGACGGTAGTTGTTAGAAACATCGACACAGAGAGGCAAGTGGTGAACCAATTTGTAGCCCTTGCCATCCTGATCAAGCCCCTCGAGCAGGCGAACACTTCGATCCAGGATTCCCGATGGAACCCAAATGTTGCTATCCAAGATCCACACAATATCGCCTTTGGCCTCCCTGTACCCTTTGCTGAGGTTCCGTATCTTTGGGTTAGGTCCAACGTCTTCTTCGCCTATCAAGATCCTTGCATTTGCCTCGGGATGACTAGCAATGACTTGCCGAATAATCGGTACCGCCGGATCATGAGGAGAGGCCACGCAAAGAATCAACTCATACTTCGACTTAGGATACCGCAGCAAAGTAGTAGATTCCAGGCATAACTGCAGGAAGGGGTCAAGACCCTTGACCGGACGAAGAATTGAGACATATGGAAGTGCTTCAGAGACGCCGTGAGTTACGGGTACCGAAGGCGGAGGTCGTGAGTACATTCGTTTCCTAGAGATAAGAGTATGATAAGTAACCCATTCTGTTGGTAAATTCCACTTGAGAGACAAACATTCGCACATGGCCTACCATGCAGACAGCCCATACAAAGACGAACCAGGACAGAAACACCCGGGCCAAGATGACCTGGACCGCGGAGGGAGCAAAATGGAACATATTACTGCTTCCGCCGTGCCCCGGTGGAGGCAATGGAACGACCGAGAGGGGCGAGGAAGCCATGCCCGCAGAGGACCGGATGAGGAGAATGGGAGTGAAGAAAGTTGGAGGAGGAGGAAAAGTTGTAGAACAAAAGGGGTGTGGCTGGTTTGTGCGGTTGGTCTTTGCTAAATTAAGGCTTCTTGCCAATTGATTGACACAGTGAACAGAAGCATTCCCTTACTTTAGGCTTGGCTCGGTGTAACAAATGGCCTTGGCGTCGATCATGGCCGTACTCGTAGAAGAACGGGGCTCACCAAATGGTGCTGCGCACCGGCAACTTTAAAGTCTAATTTGATGTCCATCGATGTCCTCTTATGGTCGCCATATTCAAATAATTGAATGAAGGTCCGGAAGTATCTCCGATATCTTTGCCCCAGAGCCTTGGGAATTTAGCCGTCGCGAAGTTTGATGAAAGCCATCAAAGCTTGTATACCCTGTATCACTTCCGTTCCTTTGACAGCGGTATTGTACATGTATGATATAGTCGCACCTCGCTATCCCGGAACACGCTGAACCAGATACCTCGCTGAACCGGACAAAATCTGTGGTAGCTTTGGACTTCCATATAATTCACCCCACTGAACCAGAAAGAGGCAAGTTTGGGATTCGTATGATATCTAGAGGCATACCCCCCCTGGTCCTCTTAGAATGTTGATCTGCTGAACCAGATCCCACCAGAACTAACAGTTGAACTAAGCTAGAAGGAAAGAGTGTGGCCAAAGAAATCTAGGAGTAAAGAAAGGAAAGGAAGGAGAATACTTGGAAAGGGTAGGGGGATTCTAGTATACACACCTCTGGACTTTGCAGACAGAGGATTGAGTTCTTGAGCTGGAAGTTGTCTATGTTCTGTTTGTTCAATTTTGATAATGCCTGTGACAAAGTCAATTAAAAAGTCCAGCTTAACAGCCTCGCAAAATTATTAACCATGCCACCTCTGGGCACAGCATCCTTCACCCTGCTTGCCTCTCAAGAGAATGATAATAAACAAGCTTTATTTTTTCTCTGCATTTTTTGTGCTATTCATGAGACCCCGCTGTTCCGGAAACCCCGTTGTCTCGGATGAAATCCGTGAAATTTGGCCATCCGAGATAGCGAGGTGCGACTGTACTCTAGTACTACTTGTAGTATGGTAGCTCACGTGGAACTTCCAAATAGAACCAACACCCTTGTCTGCTCGACTGGTTAACAAAGTGGGAAATGTTGTTCCGCTTGAATCACTGTCCAAGACACAAGTTAATAGGCAACTTCGGACCATTGCTACAAGTAGCATTGACTGGTATATATGATCATGGCTGCGCAAAAACCACCACTGAGGGATACGAGGGAGAGTGCCTTACTGTACTCGAATAACCATTTCTGTCTCAGACAGCTACACGAGCTTTGCAACACCTTCCACTATGATACAGTACTAGCTCAACCGTCCAGGAGCTAACCTGGTATCTGGCGCAAACCATTTTTTTACCATAACCCCCTCTCTATAGCAATTCAGCAATATCAGGCCCGCTCACACCTGAGTAGAGTACAGTACTCAGGTGTTGGAACCCAAGTAAGGTAGGGGCTCCTTGAGTCAACCACTTCAGGGCCCAAGATTGCCCAACTTTGAGTGCCAAAGACACCCCTCAACAATGACATCTGTCCCAAATGCCGGTATACCTCTTAGATGATGGAGTAGAAGCTGGAGAATAAGGCAATAGAATCCAACTCAATAAACATGAAGCTCTGGTCAAGCTATCGCAGTTTGAATAAAGGCAGTTATACTGACGATTTTACACTTAATTGTTTACGATTAATAGACCGGTTGTTATGCCAAGATCTTGAGTCACTGCGGTTCTGGTCTAAGAAGTCCCCCACCATAATATGGGGAATCTTGTCGGTGAGATCAATGAAAATCTAGATTACATGTGCTCATAGAGTCATAATTGTAATAACTAGTAACTTGAGTGATCTCTGCATGGATAAAATCTCGCCCCTAATTGTACCGTCCATGCGGCTCACTGACAGCCCGCACTCGACCGTTGACTACTGGTCTACTTGAAGCTTGAGCAATCACTCTAGTTGTCAGGGTATTGTATCATAACATTTATCCGTTAGGACGTGAATTACTCGGGGTGCAAGAATTTATCATCTCAATTACTATGCTAAGCTGAAACCAGATCACATACATACAGATTGCTGATATTACAGCTCCTTGTTCCGGCAAGAAAGTACGGGTACAGCCGCATTCGTAAAGTTCTCGCCCCCTCCCTTGTACCTCAGGAACTGTGCCGACTATGATAAGTTAACAACAAGAGAACAAGAAAAATAGTTTTTGACTAACTGTGCTTAGACATGCCTCTGGGGACACTGTAAATTTTTAAGAAAATTTATTTTGCCGAATAATAAGAGAGAGGATTAGCAGAGCGTTTCCAACGAAGGGGGGTACAGGTACAGTACCTTGAAGTGTATGGAGACGAGAGCTTTACGAACGCGGTTGAACTCTCACAGTACTGCACTCGAGTGCTCGTACTGTACTAGTACATACCGGCACCCGAACGCCGAGGGAACAATTTTGTTCGATTGCACAAATACGCACGCATGATTGGCCATCTCTTTTTCTGATCCCTCGTGTTCGGGCCCTCCTGCCTGAGACGAGTAAGGAAGGGGGAATATGCCTGCTTCAGGAAGGAGCAAGCGGCTGCGTTGTTGCATGCAAAAGCTCTGTTGCCTAGGGCCTTTTCCTTCCTTCCATTCTCTTCTCCCGTGCTCTTTCTTTTACCATCCTTACCAAAACCCTCTGCCCCGGATTTCCGCAGAGTTGATTGTATATTTCTCTCCCTAACATACCTGGATGAGGTATGATAGACTGGTTATTTCTTGCTGCTAGTCGATTTCCCTCCTCCAATTGGGCCATCTACTAACTCAGCTCACTCTTACACTAGATTTCTTGAATTTTCCAATATCTAGAGATTAGACTCGGCACTTTCTATAACTTAGAAAGACCGAGTCGATATATACCACCGTTAAATATGTTTCCTCCTGCACAGCAGCTGGATATTGACGCAAGGGCCATTAGCGGAATTGCAGGGTTAGGATCGCCTACTCGGTGTCTGAAATCTGTCCCACTACTAATCGAATTGATAGGTCGATCTCGATCGCTTGCTGGATAGTAGTTTTCTCCCCGCAGATTATCGCCAATGTTTGTCTCCCTGGCCTGGTAACTGTATTCGTGGAAACTAATGAGTAGGGATCGTTCAGTTCCAGCGAGGGTCAGCCAATGGACTTTCTTTGGCCTTTCTGATTGTTTGGCTGGCTGGGGACGTTTTCAATGTTCTTGGGGCTGTTCTACAGGGCGTATTACCTACAATGGTGTGTAGGTTTGCTCACTCATCGAGTGGCCGTTTGGTCTGCATGCCGGTATGGGAGTTTTTACTCACAGGGTGGTAGCTGTAGGTGATGTTGGCCGTTTATTATACCCTCGCAGACGTAGTTCTCCTATTCCAGTGTCTCTACTACAGCTGCATCAACTCTCGCAATGCAGCTCCAGAAGCCGAGAGTTTGCTCCCCGTCTCGAATGAATCAGCCGCTACTGTTGATGGATCGCATCTCTCTCCTGCAACACCGCTTCTGGATCCTGCGAAAGAGCCTATACACACCGAACCACAAAGACTGATGAAATCCGTCTATTTTAACGCGTTATCGATTCTCATAGTATGCCTTGCTGGTGTCTTTGGTTGGTGGGCAAGTAATCGCTACTCTGACTGCGATCCTCCGCCGAACGGACACGGTGACGAACTCTCATTTTCGGCACTCGGCCAAACCTTTGGCTACTTGTGTGCTGTGCTATATCTGGCCAGCCGAGTTCCTCAGATTCTACTCAATTACCGCCGACAATCCTGTGAGGGCATAAGTTTGCTATTCTTCCTGTTTGCATGCATAGGAAACTTGACGTATGTGGTCTCGATTCTAGCCTATATTCCCCACAGCAGGGATGAACCGGGCCAGGAGTACGAGAGGTACATTGCCGTGAACGCCAGTTGGCTCCTGGGCAGTGTGGGGACACTCTTCCTGGATCTCATTATCTTTGCCCAGTTCTTTTGGTACAGGAGCACCGAGGAGGAATACGAATCTTCCTCCGAAGATGACGGCTAAGAGTCTCACTGAGCGGTGTTTGGATACTTGGTGCATGGGTTTATATGAGGTTCACGGCCATTTACATTAGAACGGATTGTATCTGTTTCCTGTTTTTCTTTTTTCTTTTCCCGCTCGGCGTTGTGCATTCAAAAACGTCTTTGGCTTTTACATGTCAAGGAGGGTGGTGCTGAATGGAAATTACTGCTGTCCTTTATCCCCACCAAAGTTGATTTCAGGTTATGATACTTCAGGGCCCAATTGCCCATATCGTACGCTATGTACCCTATGCCATAACTGCCCCCGTACCTTGTGCGAGGCTGGGTAACAAGGTTATAGGGCAGCCGTGCCGCAAGCAAGTTACGGTATCATATTATGGCTTAAGCGGTATAAAACTTGCACAAGGCTGAAATGTAGGTGTTCTGGTTCAGGTATGATACTTCAAAACATATAATAGCTGGTTCCCCTCCTATTTCGTATTGCTCATAGTCGGGAAAAGCAAGTGGGACGCAACACAAAGCTTTTTTTTTGTTTTTAATTTGTTTGAACACATGCATAATATAGGTTATGAACTGGACGTTTTTTTTCTTCTCCGATCCATCATTAATATTTAAATTAACATTTACAATACAGTAACAGCATTAAAATTTTGAATAACAATGTCTTTCAAATTGGAAAAACATGAAATCAAAGATAGACTTGACAGAGTACTCAAATGGCTAGAGGAAGAGCTGACTGAAACAGTCAGTACAGTAGCTCAAATCTTTAATATAAAAGCATTATCAATCTAATCTTGTCAACAGCATAAGTGGAATTTAAAATAAAATTTATATAGAATCTTCAATAAGTATGAAGGAAATAATATCATCTTGACTGAAACTTAAGAGCTTACAGTTTACTAATACTGATACTGTTTTAAACAGTGGGAGGCTGAGTTAGGTGATTCACCATCAATAATTTATACAGTTATTTACTACCTTTATTGAGCTAAAAGACTCAACCTACTATCAAGAGCTTGGTTTTAGCAATAGCTTAAGAAATATTCTTATCTAGATACAAGTCAGATGAAATAGATTACAGGAATATGGATTGCAACTTAAAGTAAGAAAGATCAAAAGTTGGGGTGTTTTTTTTTTGCCAGAATTATCAGAATATAGTTTGTATATATCAAAAATTAAACCATACTAAATATAATGTATTACATAGCATAGAAGTATTCAATGGTAAGACCAGACCATTTAAGAGTTAGAATCAGGTATTAGGTTTTGGGGTTTAAAGGTTTTTAATAATATTAAAAATATCATAATATTATCATATTATAAAAATAAAAATATCTAAATAAAAGAGAATCATATAATATAATATTATGATAGATAAAAGTTTATATAGGTTTTAACAAATTTAGTTAGTGGTTAATTACATTGATCTTTATTACTATCATATACATCAATGACTCTAGTATTTATAATTTATGGTAGTTACAAACTTCTGAGAATGTATTAGGCAAAAATAATTTGAATAGACTCAGAATTATCTAGGCCAATTGAGATTGATTTTGTAGATGGAGATTTGTCTAAGAAGGCTTAAAGAGTTTCTTGTTTCATTTATGACTACTAAGAGTAAAGTAAAATAAGCTTGAATAGTAAAACAATATTATATTGTTAAGGTTTCTTCTCCATTGCATAATGATATTGAAAAGCTTGAGAGACACTTCAATATTTATATTCTGTGTCTGAGTGTTCATGGACTACGTCTATCTCTCTTACAAATTATGTACCTCTTTAACTATAACTTGCAATGTCGGGTATCTGTAACAATCCCCCTTCAGATGTTTTAGTTCTTGGCGACGGGGAACGATACTTCTCTTGTTTGGCTTCTTAGTCTTACAATAGCTTTAGGCCTATGCATACATTACCGATAGTACAAGACCTTTGTCTTCTATCGGGAACGCCAATCGTAAACTTTCTCTAACTCTCCTTCGTGAAGAGTTCTCATTGGTGTAACAATAATAAAGGTCATGATAATGATAAAAAATATAAAGGTGTTTTATATTCGTTATAGTAATAAGTAGGAAAAGTACTTAGAATTCAATCTAATTTTATTTATACTAGTAACGCCAACACTAGTATACAACTAGTCTCCCCCCACACTCCATAAAACAAACTATCTAAAATACACTACGATGGACGGTTCCACCCCGCAACTGCTCCTTCCAAATATAAATCCCAAAATCACTACCTATGTGGGCTTAAGGGCGCTCACAGTGACTAGCGCTGCCCCAGATTAATGTGTCTTCCCACCTCGCTATCCACTCACTGTCTCATACCTTCACTCCTATCTGCCTCCAACACAATTTGCCCTACATACTCAACAAAGGAAACATACTGTAATGATCCCTCCTTGGATGGTTAGGTCTTAGCAACGGGGAACGATACTTCTTGTTTTCTTCTTCTCCTCTTCCTTGTCTTATGATAGCGCTAGGCCTCTGCCTATGTTACCGATAGTATAAGACCTGTGTCTTCCATCAGGAACGCCTATTGTAAGCTTTCTCTAACTCTTCTTTGTAAAGAACTTTCCTTGGCATAATGATAATATTGCAATAAAGATAAAGATTAGAAAGGTGTTTTATATTCGTTAAAGTAATAAGTAGGAAAAGTACTTAGAAGTCAATCTAATTTTATTTAAACTCGTACCGCCAACACTGGCATACGACGAGCCCCCGCCGGCACAGGGATACCGCTAACCGGTATACCACTAATCCTAAGCTAACTAAGTCTACGGTCCCGCACCTGCCATCCCCGAGTCATGCCTGCACGGAAACTAATTACAAGACCATCAAACAACCCAGTGCCTGCCCCGGTCCAAGTCCGTAGCCCCTCTGGTATGAAGCCAACCAGCACTAAGCGTAGCCAAAGCCAAGCAAAAGACCAACCCAACCAGGTTCCTCGTCCAACAAATATAAAATCACCACCACCCGGTCTGAACACCATCCCGCAACACCTCCTCCACAGTAGAAAACCAACAACAAACCTAAACAAATATAAACTACAGGCGACACGATGGCAGAGAGGAGGTGACCAACATGTCCACCTCTCACATTCGCATGCCAGGCCGTCGACCCTATGAATCCACTTTGCCAAGTGCCTCCGGAGAGCGTAATGGTGAGGAGGACCTGTACCCACTGCCTGTCCCCCAAAACAAACTCATAAACATAGGAAATACATAGAGGTAGTGACAGACCGAAACGGTCAGTGGAGCATATCTCCCACCCATGGTGCCTTGCCCCCACCAGCCATGCCCATTGCCAAAGCAAAGAAACCAAACAAACCCCACAAAACCCAGCACGCAGAACCCAAACAAGTCCAACCAGGTGGTCGCAACCCACTATCAGCACAGGTGGCCATCAACCATCCGGGTCACTAAGAAGCTTTACAGCACTCAGCAGCTTCACCCAACGCCCCATCAGGTCGGAAACACTTAATTAGACATCGCCCAACCTGACGCATGCCTGACTGGTGCTCGCAGGTGCCTCTCCCGCCCCATCCAGCCCCCCCAGCCCCTCATACAGATCAACCATCCGACAGCCACAGGACAGCTATACCTAACCCCATCGGGCGGCCACTGGTCTTGGCCACGCCAACAGAGCCACAACCCCTGACTCCATATAGCCAAGGGGGGCCCACCAGCCACAGCCAGGAGCCACAAAGGAGGCGGCACCAACACCTGAAGGCACCAGCACCTGCCACACCATCCAACCCTGCCAAACCGAAGTTCAACTGAGCCGGGAAAGGGTAAGCGGAGCCAGCCGAAGTAATCCCCACAGGTCCGGAAACAGGCACGGACCGAACAACGGGTAAGAGGCATCCCCAACTGACGCGACAAGAAGGGGGAGGTCGAAAGAACAAAAGCAGACAATCGGAAGGTAGGCCCCACTTGCAATGGGTGAAGCCGCCAACCACAGACCACAACCGAACCACCCAAACATACAAACAATGCGAGTGTCTGGCAGCCAATCGTCCCACACCACCCCAGGCAGCAAAGAAAAACCACACCAGGGGGTAAGATTTTTCAGGGTCAAAGCCATCCCCACCATAGCGAGGAGGTGACACCTGACTGAACAACCGTATATGCCGCAAGGACAAAACTTCCAAGGGAACAGTGATAAACAACATCGTAGGATTCCGACCATAGAAACGTAAAGTAACAAGGCAGGGAGGGGCCGGCGAGGCCCCCTCCCTTGAGGAAATGATGTGGCCAGTACGACGAGTTGATACTTGGGAAGGTCATCAGTCTAACCCAAGGGCGTTTTGTATCGCGAGAACTAAGGACTTCATTAAAACCCAACAAAAACATGAGCCGGCCCAAAGAACGATACGGGTGATCCCCCTAAACAGAATGTTCAATCCCCCCAATCGAACGCGAAACCTGCGAGTGGACGATGGACAGGAAGCCGTAGACATTTTACCGAAAGGGGCTCGTGTGCGACCGTGATGAAGTGCTCGAAGTACTAGCATTGTGAGATAACCAACCCAACGAAACGAGACGCAAACAAGTTATCCGCCACGCAACACCTAACAAGCCTCAACACCAAAGACCCCAGGAACTACTGAGCGAACTCAGATATCTCCCCCAGAATCCACGGCATCAAGGCCCATTATAATAGCGCAAGAGACGCTCGAGGCGAAGCGACGGCAAGGACGAGGAAAAGTACTTAGAACAAAGCGTGAAGAACCTATTCTCCGCAGCCACATCGGTCTCCTTATATAGTGTTCTTCCCATCCGTAGTCATGTGACCCAAAGTGGTCACATGTGTGAAATCAAATTATAACAAACTAGTCATGTGACCAAGATTGTTACATGCTCAAAACCCATGACCTTATAACGAGGTCATGTGCAAAACTCATAAACTAATCATAACGCAATAAACAAGTCATATGACTCGACTGAGTCATATGTGTGAAATCCATGACCTCATAATGAGGTCATGTGTGAAACATAAATCATATGCGCCAGGCCTACCCACAAGGCACACTCACAAGGCATACTCGCCAGGCACACTCCTATGACTCCTATTTGAGCCATGTGCGAAAGCATCCCAAATCCCACATATAACAAATCATATGACTCAAATGAGTCATATGTGTGAAACAATAACATACCTGTGACTCATAATCATGTGTCACATGAAAACCTTTTCCTCGCCAAGCTATATTCGTGACACATACAGTCTATCCCAATATTCCTCCATTCTCTTATAATGCAATCTCAAATCCAAGTAACCTCCTGCCTACACCAACCCACCGAAGGGGAAGCGGAGTTCTTTCAGTAACCCGTTCACCTTAGCCCAACTCAAGACCACTAATATTTGTGTTGTCAAGTTTAGCTCGTCCTACTGCTGGTGCTGAGAATGCCAAAGTCGATCATCACACACCAGTAAATATTAGGGCCATTTCTCGAAGTGTTCTGCAAAGGTGGTGTATTTTTTGGTGGCTACAGTGGAAATGGCAGTACTAAAACAGGGACATTCGCACCATTGCTAGTCAGGAGAAAAGAACCAGATCTTCGGCAATGTTACCT